ACTGCACAACTCAACGGTGGACTGAGGGCCTATGACATGGTTGGACTGGGACACATTGGCAGACATGGAGGCACATCGGGACACGACAACTGGGCCATGTTGGAGATTCCATACTGCCTGTGGTGGCTCTGTGACAGACTGAATCAGCCACATGATACCTCCTTCTACTGTCATGGCTGGTTGCAATGGTCGCGCTTGCCACTGCATGTCACCGAACACCTTGGCTAACATCTTGCGATCACTCCCAAACGGCCAAGGGCCGCAGTGCCACAGCATGCGTTCACCTGGGGCAAGGAATTGGCTGTCTGGCTTCAGTTTGGCAAACATCATCTGGTAGTGTTTGGCTAACACTCTGATACCATACCGACGTCCTGTTCTGGCAAGGCCTGTGCTATAAGGTTCGCACTGCATGCTATGTTGGGCTTCTGCAAAGGACGACTGCGGCATCCAGATGACCTGGTATTCATCTGATGGCATGGACGAGTCAGGCAAGCGAGGCTCTATGTACAAACCAGCTGTGCCACTGCATTTCAGCACTGCTGCTTCCTGGCTTTTGAGGTACCGAATCTGGACACTGAAGTGGCTGGCTTGGTGGGCTTTGACTGGGCGCCCCCCCTCAGAAAAGAACTGCCTACGAAAAACATCAAGCACAACATCATGGACAGGCTCCATTGGGTCTTTGTGCCAACGGTCGCATCCGCAGTTCTCACTTCTGCAGGTTTGCATTGGGGGTATGCGCTGCAAGGCTTCTTTGACTGGGTGGGCCACAAAGGAATCCCAGTCTTGTGGCCACTGGTCTTGAAACACTGTGAGTCTTGCGCAAGCTACTGGGACATCAGGTACTGTGACACTGGTGGGCCGATGGTAGGGACAAACCGACGTGCTACCAAGTTGGACAAGGACTCCATGCAGCAAAACAGGCTGTTGGTTCACTGCACACTTCGCCGCAAACCTAATGGTACTCCATTGCAAATCGGTCTGAACCTCAGCAGGGCTGTTGACAATCACCAGTGCAAGGCCTTTGGTGGTAAGCACCTTGTTTGTCTGCAAAAACGGCTGGGCTTCTGCATATGTGACGAGGGCAACTCCAGTGGCAAGAGGTCCTACTTGGCTAAGCTGCAACTGTGGTAACATGACATCAGGCATGGTGCAAAAGGTGTCCGGCTCAAGGACAAGACGACCTGGGTCAATGTCGACGGGCTGGACAGGGACCTGGCGTGGCTTCTTCTGTTTGACCTCTTGTGGTGAGGCTTTCTTGGCTTTCTTTTCCTGCACCACAGCTGCAAGTTCGTCGGGCATTACCAACTGGATCGTTGGCTGGTGTTGATTGGCAACATGTTTCAAACTCTTCCATGGTGACACACCTTCCAAAGCTTTCTTGACTGACTCCTTACCCAGACTCTGGATGACCAATTTGGCTCTCTGCTTCGACATGGACGACGGGACACCATGAAACTGGAGCAAGTTCGCAAGCAGCGTGGGCAAGTCTTCAACCCCCGCACCCCAACACCATGGTCTTCGGACATCACCAGCTGAGGCATGAGAAGTACGGAATTGGTTCCGCAGCATCAGATCCAGTTCCTGCAGGTCTGGCTCATCCTTAGGCATCTGGGTGTCATTGATTTTGGCAGTGAAAAAACCAATTGCCGCAGCTCCACAAAGACGCGTGCCAAAGTTGCGACGTTGACATGACACCGTGAAGGAGGAGACATCAAACGCTTGACAGAAAAGTCCATGCAGTCCATTCAAGCAATTGAGATCCACGTCATCATGGTCATACGTGTGAACTTCAAGGCAAGTTTGCTTCACTATCCACATGACAGGAATCCAATGACCATGAGACCAAACCACAGACATGAACCGATCAGCAGGTTCGATGACACCCTCAATCCACGCTTTGACCGACATGACATTACCAGAGGCTACCCAAGAAGTGGCCAACAACGGGTCCAAAACAATAATGGGCTTCCGGGCCATCATGGCAGTGGCCTGCATATGCCATAGCATTTCGTCATCAGCCCATGCATGTTGCTGATGTGTAAGCAGTTGTTCACGACAAGGCCACTGCACACGCAGAGAACGAAGGGATTCGCACAACTCAACATCAGGAGTCAACGGTGGGAGCATTTCCAACAAGGCATTCGCAGACAGTTGCAAAAGGGATTGCATGGCCACCGCATTGCAGCTAACTGTGTCAGGTTGGCAACCCGCAGGGACCTGGAAAGTCATGTGGTCAGGGGTGAAGTCCATCATGCATGCATCAACATCTGAGTCCACAAGAGTCGCAGGAATGACACCGCCAGACGGGGCACAAAACGCAGACCCAGACGCAGGACACACAGGGACCAAATCCTCAGGCAAGAAAGGGACAGATTCCACCGCATCACAAGCCACCGGAAGAACACTACCTGGCTTGACCAACAGGACGGCAGTTTGCTCACTCAACTTGGCAGTTTCACAAAGTTGCATGCAATTCACATCACACACTTGCATGTCAAAAAGAGGCATGTGCAAAAGGTCACACTCTGCTTCCAGCAAATGACGGACAGTGCTTGCTGGCTGATGCTTCAAAGTCCATGGCGATCCTTGGTGGTCCACGACCTGCAGTTGGCATGCGGTTTCTGCAACCTCAGTCTCAACAGGGCCTGACGACGGAAGACCAACAGACCTGGGAATGGTAGGGAAAAACTCCTTGCTCTGTTGCTGAACCAGGCTTTTGAGATTACTCAAAGCATGCATTGGGTCAATGGGAACCTCATGCGTGAACAGCTTTTGGATATGCGCAATGACCGAAGAAGCCAACCATACCGAGTGCATAGGGCTTGCAAGTTGACCAACAGCACGCAGGTTCAGCCTAGCATCCAGATTCCACTGTTGGATTGGGGGCACCCCATTGTGGATAGCAACCTCAACCGCATGCATGTGTCGATACTTGGTTTGATTGCCAAGTCCAGGAATCTGCAAAAGTTGGGCAAAAAGTCCACGGGATTGGAGGGTGACATCGGCAAAGCCAAGAGACCTGCATTCACAGGCGCATCCCTGTGTCTGACCACCCCAACTGTGCAAAGCCGTCGGAAGCTTCTGATCAGCCTGAACAAGGTACTTCCTGAGTGGTTCCCCTCCCAACTGAAATCTGTCAAGCTCCTGGGCATTCAACGTCAGCTGGTCTTCCTCCTCATCACTCCAACGCCTGGTATATGGCATGAGGTCACGGACAACAAGTGTGGAACCCTTTGGGTAGTTGGGCACAAAAACACGGCCCAGATTCTTGTTGGTTGCAACCATCCACCATCTGTAACGATGGGCTGACCATACTTCTTCAAGTTTCATGGTGAAGTCAACAACATGATAGTTCAGCTGTCCTTCAAGCTCCCGTAGATGGGCCAGCACATATTCATTTGACCTTGCTGGGACAACGCATTCCAGGACTATGACCGGTGCCTGCAACCAATTGGCAAGCTTCAGAGTGGCTGGAAGTGTGGCTGCACGACTGTCCTGGCCTCCATCTTGCTTACCTGCCCTGCTGTACGGTTGGCATGCTATGCCTGCAATGATGGTGGCAGGCTGGGGGCAAGCTTCATGGATCAAGGCAGCTGTCATGACATCTGTGATGTCTGCATTAAGCACTGGCACTCCTGGGTGGATGCTACGGTGCAGGGCTGCAAGTCTCGGCTGACATTCAACGGCACACCTAGGGACAAACCCTGCCTGGACAAACCCAAGGGACGAAAATCCAGCTCCAGCACACAACTCAACATAGTTTTTGACATGTGCAACCTGAGGTGGCTGGATACACAGGACACGACAATGCTCATCAACAGACAAGTCCACCAAGGTCGACGCATTCAGGAAGGAAGCACCAAGCAGTGTCACAGTGGAGAATCCATAAACTTCCGGGGGGAGAAGTCCACAAACACGAACCCTTTGCTCACCCGGGGTAAGTCTACCAATCCCAGTTCCATCCTGCCACAGCAAGTCAGTCACTACAACTGAGACCTTAGTACCCAAAGGCAGCACAGACCACTTCGGGTTGAAAAGGTACTGAAGGTCCTGCAGTTTTGGATCGTCTGATCCTTTCATGGCACGGCGAGTCACCCACACACTGGCTAGCGCAGCCTCACCTATGGGCTGGCAGGTTTTTGGGCCGGAGGCTAAACTCTGCACCACTTCTGGCTCCGCAACCTGGTGGCCAAACAACATCTTCGAGTATGTCCTGGCCATGTCCATCTCCACTTGACGCTGGATTTCTCCTGAAACCACTTTGCTTTTGGCATCAGCATCTGGCCTGTGCATCTGCGCGGCCGCGGCAAGCCACTGGTCAGCTCGGGCTGCACCCGTCATGTGAGGCACAAGTCTATGAGACCAGTTCCAAACCACCAACCAGTTGTTTACTATGGTTTATCCTGGAAAGAAATAAACATGAAAAGGGGTGCTGTTCCAACAGCACATATGTACTCTGTACTCGTATGTGGTACCACGTAATTTTGGTTGGCCCTGCAAAAATGGTGGATGATCAGTGGATGTTATATGATATACCTCTGTCATCAATACATGATGGTGACTAATGCGATACGATTGTTTTCAAACAGTGAATAGAAATAAATACATAGACCAATATATAATCAATAGACCAATAAGATAATTGTGTAAGTAATATAATTACCATCTATAATCCAATATAATAAATAGACCAATAATTACCAACATTATAACCAATGCCAATATTCGATACCCTGCAAAAAAAATAGCTGGTGAACGTGGATAATCCCAATAATACCAAAAAACTAAAGGATTAGTTTCTACTCATCTAAGATTGACCTGGGAACTACGTATAGAATATGTATAGCTATGATATATCCCGAGTTGGTTTATACATGTTGATTAAAACCATAGTAACTAGATGTATCATGATATATCTATCATAAAACCATATAAAACATGATAAAACCATATAAAACCATAGTTAATAAAGTTATAAGTCACATTAAATGTGCCAGTTCTCAACGAAAACCCTCCAGCTGCAGCCCCAGCACCGCTGTGACCTGCATGGGTCCAGCCATCCGTGGCGTTGAAATCGCACCCGAGGCCACCTGCGGCGCCGGGTCGAACGGGTCGTGGGTGAAACGCCACAGCTATGGCTGGATGGTTGGATAAGGGGACTCATTGGAAGGCATAACTAACCATAACTAACAGCTATCTTGAAATAAACCATAACAAGTTCAGTTATTTCATGACAAGCCATGACTTTGGAAACTCCCAGTTATAGCCCTTAACTACAGCTATAAGTGGGATGAAATGGGTTTGTATAATGATATATAAGCCTTAGTTTGTAGGAGTTATACTTCCATTTATAACTTTTTTTAACCGTAACTGCATGGAATGAAGAAATAATTCCGTGTTGAGCAACAGAAACAAGGAGGTGGGCAACAGAATAACAGATTTCATAGATTTTCATATAGTGAGCCAGGGAAAATTGAGAAGGATGTGAGTCTGTGTCATGTGCACAAAAAACATCAAAAAACACCAAAAAACACCAAAACACCAAGGTTGGTATCCTGCTGATCCAAGGCCAAAAGCTGCTCCGCAATTTCGGGTCTCCGGACATGTTTCACCGAAGTCATCATCGACACATGCGCCTCATCGCCAGATCCCCATGAGCTCCGCTGAATGCATGTTTTCTGCAGGTTTTGAACGGTCCTTAAATCAGGATGCTAGCTATTCAAATCTGTCCAACCTGCCGAAATCTCCCAGGTTAGCATCACCCCAACTCACTCCCATCCCATTCCGCAAAATCAACTTTTCACACTTTTTAAAACACCTATATATAACACGTATGTATCACATTTAAGGATGTTTTATGATGTTTCGATCTGATTCTGCGCTCCAACATCCCAGGGGGGGGCACCTTGCGAATCACGAGCCGCAGGCCGCTGTAGGTCATCCGGAAGCGCCGCAGCTCCTGTCATTCACCAACAGAACATGGTCCAAAATTAATGCTGGTTGGTGGTTTCAATCTACCCCTCTGAAAAATGATGGAGTTCGTCAGTTGGGATGATGAAATTCCCAATATATGGGTTTTAAGCATCTTGAAAAATATGAAAATCAGTTGGAATGATTATCTTATCCCATATGGGCATGGATCAATACCTATTAATACCATTTTTAGTGAGATGAACATCCATTTACCAGCTATTTTGATGTTCACCAGGGGTACAAGGTTTTGACCCATCCCCATATGTGAAATGGAAAATAAAAAATGTTTGAAACCACCAACCAGTTGTTTATGATTTCTTCTATCCCTGAAAGTCAGATGACTCATTTGACCAACCATAAGTAGTGATAATCCACCAATAACCCGGAGGTAACATGAGTCATTGGGATTTTCTAGGTATGATATAGAGTATCCCGGAATATCATATGTATGGATTTAAACAGCAAACACTAATACTAATATAACACTAATATAGAATACTGGGGTAAAGCTTGGTGAAGTCATGCTAAGTCATATTACATCATATTTTACAAATCAACCCAAAAGGAAGTATAACTACCAAGAACGAAGATTCTAAATTCTAGATTCAATGCATTTGGTTAAAGGAAAATAAACAGGAAACACACGTAAAAAAAATCAAATAGGTATAGACCATTTAAATGTTCATGAAACTGATTCTGGGTGGAATGTTCATTCCTACCATGAGATTCCAGTGGGGCAGGGGGATCTATTCCAACAGGGGCACCTCCAGAGATTTGAATCCATGAATGGCCGCGGGTGATGGGAATTGCATGGAAGAATTCGTGAGATGAATAAATGGGATCATGGTTTATAATGGTTAAATCATCATCATCCCAGAAAGCATGGTTTAATCATTGAATGGTCCCCCAGTGATGTTTGTTGGTTTATCATTACCATTAACTTCTACCATAAACCATATCTGGTTGGTGGTTTTAACCATCTTGAAAAATATGGAAGTCAATGGGAAGGATGACATCCTATATATTATGGAAAGAAACAAATGGTTGAAACCACCAACCAGATATTAAGTAATTACCCTTTCCAGGCATGATGTCATGCTAGTTGAGCCCAAACGGATTGACAACAAACAAATATAGAAAATCTACATTTGCAACCACCATCAACCACCTGCATTCTAAAGGATCCAAGAAAGTTGGAACGGAACGAAGCCACCCACCCGCCTGCTGCCCACTGTGTGGTGCCTCTTGCCCCGCTGGCTCGATCCAATCCACATCGGCCTGAAGTAAGGCCAGGGCGGTAGGTCAGGGGGTTCCATAACTGGATATAACTGGGGGAATCCCCAATAGCTGGGTGGTTTATTTCATGGAAATCCTAGTGAAATGATTTGAAATGGATGATTTAAGGGTAATTACACCGATTTTAGGAAACCTTCAATTGATTATCCCATTCATGTGGGATTCACCCAATTCCACAAACCTATACCATTTGAGGATGGGTTCAATCCCACCCATCTATGGTAATAGAAGGGATGGTTTCTCATTGAGTTTAGCATCACAGTAGTAGTGCTGGTTGTACTCCCATGATTCCTCTGAATAAATCATAATATTCATTCACCTGAAATGTTGGGACATTTGAGGATGATTCCCCTATCTATATAGATATTGTATAAACCAAAATTCACATCATGAATTCGCAGTGAGGTTGTCATAATTTACCCAGAAATATGATCTGTCGAAAAGCTTTATTTGGCTGTTCTTTCGGTCTGGCAAGTCCAACGTTGGCAGTCACAAGCAAATCATTGACCGGCTTGAAAGCCAACGTGCCTTCGCAGGGTTTCCAAAGAGACGAGTCTTTGGCATTCAGAGTTTACCGCAACCATCTCAGCTCGATGACAACCACAACATGCCCAGGTCATGAGGGCACTGCGTCAAGCGCCATCGGTCCATCCATGTAGCGACTTCTGAAGTCCTCATCGTTGACAATAAGACCTTGGATGAATTCCTCGGACCTGTTCGCGGCAAACAGAATGCCCAAGCGTTGTTTTAAACGCTTGTAGCTGTATGAAAATATCTTTGGATATCTTGCCACCCAGTCAACAAGTTTCTGGGCCACCATCAAGGATTTCAACAAGCACATTTTGTATTCAAGGTTCTTCTCGATGCTATAACCCAAAATCGGAGGGTGTTTCAAAATGATCTTCTTTGCTTCAGTTGTGCTGAAACCCAAGTCCAACAGCCACTGCCTTGTAGGTTTCAAGCTTTGCTTGATGCTATAACCAAAAATCTGAGGCTTAATCAAAATAACCTTCTTTGCTTGAGTTGTGCTGAGACCCAAGTCCAGCAGCCACTGCCTTGTAGGTTTCAAGTTCTTCTCGATGCTACAACCCAAAATCGAAGGGAACTGCAAGATAACCTTGTTTGCTTCAGTTGTGCTGAAACCCAAGTCCAACAGCCATTGCCTTGTAGGTTTCAAGTTCTCCTCGATGCTACAACCCAAAATCGGAGGGAGTTTCAAGATAACCTTGTTTGCTTCAGTTGTGCTGAAACCCAAGTCCAACAGCCATTGCCTTGTAGGTTTCAAGTTCTCCTCGATGCTACAACCCAACATCTGAGGGTGTTTCAAAATGATCTTCTTTGCTTCAGTTGTGCTGAAACCCAAGTCCAACAGCCACTGCCTTGTAGGTTTCAAGTTCTCCTCGATGCTACAACCCAACATCGAAGGGTGTTTCAAAATGACCTTCTTTGCTTCAGTTGTGCTGAAACCCAAGTCCAACAGCCACTGCCTTGTAGGTTTCAAGTTCTCCTCGATGCTATAACCAAAAATCTGAGGGTGTTTCAAAATGATCTTCTTTGCTTCAGTTGTGCTGAAACCCAAGTCCAACAGCCACTGCCTTGTAGGTTTCAAGTTCTCCTCGATGCTACAACCCAACATCGAAGGGTGTTTCAAAATGACCTTCTTTGCTTCAGTTGTGCTGAAACCCAAGTCCAACAGCCACTGCCTTTTAGGATGCAAGCCTTGCTCAACACTGCGGTCCAAAATCGGCAAAGTAGTCAAGAGCTTGGTCACTTCCGTTGATGTTAGCCCAATGTTGCCGAGCCAACGAATCGTCGGCTGCAGCCGTTTCTCAATGCTTCGGCTTCGGCCATATAAAATCCTATGCGTTTGCAGGTGTTGAATCTCTTTGGCCGTAAACCCTTCTGTGGTCAAGAAAGATATAATCTCTTCGAGGGTGTTTCCCGCTGCTTCAGCTGCGGCGGTACTTGCAAAGTTCTTTCCTTCCATCGACAACATGTTTGAATTGCTCTGCACCCATGTCCGCAACACCCGTGAAGTCCTTGGCTGCAACCTGCTTTCAGAATGCCACAAAAACTGCCTCAAAATAGTCCGCAAACGTTTGAGCAACGATCCATCGTCCCCTCGAGACCATGTGTCCACACTCACCCAAAGGATGTTGTCTCTGAATCGGGTTTTCCTTGTATGACTGATCCGCACAATGAATGATCCCGAAGGGGCATATGCCAGCAACGCTTCATTCTTTCGATCGTCTCTTTCCATGCCTTCATTTTTCCCATGCCTCCAATCTCCGTCATATTCCACAAACAGCGCCGCATCCTTATCTTTGAGAACGCCATGCACTGCCAGATCCGGTGCCAAGGAGTGTCCGCCCCAACCTTCTGGCGACGGAAAGCTCCGGAAAAGTTCTTCCATTGGCGTGTTAGGCATCAACATCACAGCCAGCTGGGACAACAGCTCTGCCTCCGCCACGCTATCCACACGTCCTCGGGGCCATCCTTGTCGCCACCATGGAGGTACGTAGTTGATGGATACCTAACTTGGACAGGGTCTTCATGATCTATGGGTACAAAAGGAGTTTGAACATAAACTGGTTGGTGGTTTCAACCCCTCTGAAAAATATTAATCAGTTGGGATGATTATTCCCAATATATCAATATGTGGAAAAATAAAAAATGTTCCAAACCACCAACCAGTGAAGGTTGTCCGTCCATGTTGGATAAGAATCATGTAGGAACAAATCAGGTACGCAATGACATTTCAGGAGAGGTTTCTGACTCGAAAGTGCTTCTTTATGGTTATTACATCTCAGGGAACCCACCAGCAAAAATTTCTCAACCACTGAGTTGTTTTTCTTTCCAACATTTCAGAAGAAAACATCATCCATGGCCCGGAAAAAGCTCCTGCCGTGATGCATGTGCTGCCAGCAAAACGCACAAGGCCCCCCAGCGCCGGCTCATCCCTCCGTAAAGCGCAGCTGCAGAGGGGAAACGTCCGGTGCGAGCCGATGGCTGCAGCATGCCAACCTGGGGGACCTGGGTCCGTGTTCATCCTCAAACATGTTGGATTTTTATACCAAACTCAGTCCATTGAATCTGTACTTAAACAAGATTCTTCAGATTCTGCCACTTCAACTAGGATGTCAGTCTTTAGCTTCACTGGTTTCACTTCACCTTTTGTATTTGGCAATTGTTGTTCAAAGAAATAAATGAGTACCAGGTGGTCATCTCAACTGGTGGGTGAGTCAATACCATGGTGTCTAGGAAACAAAGTGCTCTCTGGTCACTGTAGTGCTCAAAACGGTGTGACTCAAGATTCAAGTGAACATCATTCACTTAGCAAGAAACAAAGTGCACCATGAAAACAAGTATAAGACCTCATTTTCCACCATTTTCCACCATTTTCCACCATTTTCCACCATTTTCCACCATTTTCCGCCATTTTCCACCATTTTCCACCATTCAAAATCCTGCCACCTCTGCACTCCCAACCCTTTTCCAACCCACCCCTCCGTGGCAGGCGTTCCCCGCCCCACTGCCCACCCCGCCTCGCAGAGCTGAGCCGCGAAACTGCCATCCCCGAACAGTGGCGTCCAATAGGCATCGAAGCCCCTCCTGGCCTCGGCGCCAGGGTCTGCTCCATGGGACTCCATGGTGCAGGTGGAAAAAATACCATAGCACTGGGGTAGATTTACCATGACTCATGGTGCTGGTATACTCATGACGGATCCATGGTGCTGCTATATATGGTGCTCCATGGATCCCATCAAGATTAACCCCAGTCATGTTAGCATTAATATACCAGCACCATGGATCCGTCATGGGATATATGAACACCATATAGAAAACCTAGATGTGACGGGTTGATGTTTTTTTGTTTTTCCGGTAGATGTTGAGAAATACTCCATGGAGCTTGGATATGGTCAAATCCGGTTTCCAACGCGCATGGGGATGGGTCAAAAGGCCAGTGAACCCACATATTTGAACGTCTTCTGGTGTGGAAACCCCATTCTAAGGGGGTTCCAATACGTTCCATATATATATATATATATATATGAAGACCAATGAATTTCCATACTATAATATAAAAGAAGACTGATGACCAAAAAACGATGTATAAAACCACCATATAAATGAGAATGAATTTTGACCTGTGTTCCCAATGTTGTGTCCCTGTGGGTACCCCCCTTGGGTCCCAAGCATTGCGAACGCCTAGCACCATGGCACCCCAACCTGCCATTCGCGAGGGCTTCTTGAGGGGCACACGGGGTAGGGGATACAGAGTTTGATTGAAATCATTATAGCAACCCCCAAAAAGATACAGAATTGGAAACCTAGAAATTGGGGTGGAAACGGGAAACATCATCTATATATGTAACATCTTGGATTGTTCATATATATATATAATCATATATATATATAATCATATATATATATATGCTGTTGGGGGTTGCTAGAGAAGCATAAATAAACCTTTGATAAAAGGCTTACATAAGCTCATTGTGGCCACACCAGCCCATCCCTACCAATGATAATGCCAATGGCCAATCGGAAGAAAACATGCGGGCCTGCTTTGCTGCGCACTTGACCATCATTGGATATCCTTTACTGTACCTATTGACTATGACATGCTGGAGGGATATGCAGTTGTTTCATCACGCAACTGGGGAAAAAGAACATCTACAATCACCCAGCTGAAATTCAGAGATACATGGCAGCATACACCCATCATAGTACAATCATCCCACTTAGTACACCTTTCATGACCCTAGTAAGTCCCTACCAAGTGTCATGGAAAGCACTGGTGTGAATCAGCAGGGTTTTATTCCCATCCAACATCTGCAATCCAGATGTAACTAAGTTGGGATTATAATCCCCATTCATCAGGTCGATATAGGTCGATATAGGTTGATATATCTACCCATTAACCCAACACTTCAATAGTGAACCAGTATTCAAACAACCTGAAGCAACTTCGGTGCAATAAACAGACTTAGCGAGTCCGAACTGGAGCACCTGAGGGTTACGCCTTCCTCCCATCAAACCACGCCGGCACTACGATGCTGACCTAGGACCTGAGCTTGTAAGGATTTTAGGTGCTGGAGCCACTCATCCTCCGGGAATTCGTTCCATAGCTGTTGAATATGGCCCAGAATGGCCCATTTGGTTCGTTGATTTGATTTACCTACTAAAAACGGTGATGTTCCATAGCTAGGTTTTAGTTTACCAGGGGGTATCTCCCAAGAATCCAAAAAGATCTTTGCAAAAAGAGTCGCCAAGGTCAATGACCAACAAAATACGGAAATTGTTTCTGGATTGACTTTTCTATGTTCTTTTGGTGACTCCTAGAAACCAGCCGGGCACATGGATGATTTGAATGATCTTGTGAAACGCTGCAAAAACATGGCATGACTTGTTACAATACCATTGATCCATCAAACATGGATCAACATGTTGATCAAGCGATGTGATCATGCTATCCAAATCCGGACGTGTTGTTGTTCAACTTTGACAACTGGAACGTTTGGCTAATGACAACTATATATATATAAAATGAGATTCTGTCGTGTCCGACAGACTGATGCCATTTTGACAGATACAAAAAAGTGCATTCAAAATCATTTAAGAGAAACATTCGGAACATCAATCTATCCGAATATATCCAAGCATCCTGAAGGAACTTCTAAGTTTGCATCTTCTAAGTTCAGACTGAAAAGTGAACATGGAAAAATCTGGATGGATTTCTGAAAATGCAAAAATCCAGACTTCCCTACAACATGATCTGGATTTGGGGGTTGAACCCACCATAGATGAAGGATTTACCAATCAATAACTGGAAAAATCATTGGACAGTGAGTATTTGAAAATAATAATAATAAATGTATATTATACATATTTCACTTTACTAATCACTGAAAATAACGGTCATTTCCAGATTTTCCCATAACTTTCAGACCGAAGGCGCACCCGGGTTGCCCCACGGACATCACCTGATGAAAATTCTCCATCTGGCTGGACAAGACCTGGCGAGTTACGTGGCACCGATGGTGGTCCATTCCCATGGGAAAACTTGGGGATTTTACCAACGAAAACAGGGAAATTGTCCAATAAAATGATGACCAATGGATTGGTTTATGGGAAAATCTGCAGGAAACCATTGTTCTTTTGCCAGGGTTCCTGTAAGTTTTTGCTTGGATAGTTGGAAATGGCTTGAAAGCTGAAAATAACAAACCAACCGTCAAAGCATGAAACGACAATCCAACTCAACCCAAAAATCAGCATCCTGACATCTCAAATACAGACATCCACCTGAGTAGAATTGGTTTGTCGGATCAAAATCATCACCATCATGAGTTTCAAATCCACATTGTTGCTGCTTAATTCACCATTCTGGGCAAATTATAATTCACTAATCTGAATAGTTCGGGCCATGGGATGATTTTTCTTATTCACCATGATTAGTGAATTTTGGACGATTAACCACTTTTTAACCTTCTTAACCATTATTTGACCTTATTAACCATTTTGGGATGATTGCCCAGGCCATTTTTAGTACATGGTCATGGCGCCCAGCACCTCCCAGCCCTCTGGCACTTCCACCACATGGTTCCACCTTGCCCGATCCGAAAGGGATTTCGGCGTAGGGACTGGGCGTGGTTATTTTTTCGTGCTGCGAAATGGAAAATACCACACACATTTACAATATGATATATATACCATGATATATACCATGATATACCATGGTTATCCACGGTTCATGATATAAGTACCATGGTTATCCATAGTTTACCAACCATGAGATTCTGATATACCAAGAAAATACCATGGTTTAACAACTGAACATCACCATAGAAACGGTTTGTATGTGCAGGTATCAGGTATCGGTAGACACACTAAATCATGTCTCCACCGAGGACTGCACAATCGATACACTGGAAACGACCACACAGCAGCAATGTGCGTCTCTAGTAGTTGTGAGCATACAATCCCATAGAAACTGGAGGACTTCAGCACTTGAGGTGTTGACAATAACAAACGACAACCAACCTCAAACAGGTATCAGTCACAATTGCAGTCAATACACAACTATAACCATGAGAATCCTAACAATGCTGAGTGCTGAGAATTTGAATTTCAATGGTTTAGAGTACCGGAAGGTTATCCCATATTTAAACGATGTAAAAAATCTATGGTTCCCAAACTACACACATCTGGGGATGGGTCAAAACCCTGGTACCTAGTGAACCCCAAAATAGCTGGTAAATGGATGTTCATCCCACTAAAAATGTATCTATAGGTATGGACCCATACCCATCTACCATCAACAGAAACTCACCAATAGCAATGCCTTCCTTCGTTGCCCCCAATCTACTCGTTGCGGTGTCTTGGACTCCGGCAGTTCGTGTCCCAAGGACATGGCTTCTGGCTCCTAGGGGCTAGCAGCTTGGGCTACAGATGAGGCCATCGCTTAAGGGATATATGGGCGGATATTTACATGGCCAACCTTGAATAATTATGATTAGTATTATTAGTATTATTATTAGTATTATTATTAGTATTATTATTAGTATTATTATTAGTATTATTATTAGTATTATTATTAGTATTATTATTAGTATTATTATTAGTATTATTATTAGTATTATTATTAGTATTATTATTAGTATTGTTATTAGTATTATTATTAGTATTATTATTAGTATTATTATTAGTATTATTATTAGTATTATTATTAGTATTATTATTAGTATTATTAGCATTATTGGAATTGGTATTATTAGTATATTATAGGTATTAGTATTACCATTATTTTTAATTACTAATCTTTGGTTTTACACGGACAACCGTTGATACCCTCCAAACAATTCTGCTGGCGAGATCGTATTCGCACTTATGGCAAAAGATGAAAGTATGAAAGTAGCCCCAATGTTGGTTTTACATGGCTAATCATATGGTCAGTTAACTAAGTTACTAAGTTATTGTTATGATCATGTTAACTAATCTTAGTTACTGACCATCTTAGTTCCCATGAACCTGTTTTAACATCTTCTTCGATGGTTCGTATGTATACAGTGTCCCATGCTTAGTTACCCAGAAAAGTGTTTAAAAATATGTTTTTAGCTGCTCAGTATACGTATTCCGCCCTTGGCGAAAGAAAATTACCAGCTGGTTATGACTAACATAGCCATGGTATAGATGGCCCATAGAAATAGATGGTTTACCGTTTTTAAAAATGGTGGATCTTTCCATGGCAAACTGTTAGTCATAACCAGAGGGTAAATCCCATTAGATTCCATTAAACCATCATAAATCCCATTAAATCACCATAAATCCCATTAAATCACCATTAAACCACTGGTTGGTTGGTTACCATTAAACCAAATGCTGGTTAACATCTACAGTACCAGGGGCTTCAGGGGCTTCGATCATCCCTTACAGGTTTGACCCATCCCCACCGTAATCCCAGTGGTTTCAAGTTCTGAAAGGAACACACAGCGCACTACGTACTGTAATGGGCAACTTTGGATACCATCCATGGTTGCTCATATATACATATATACATATATATATATATATATGTATACCCTAGTGTTCCAACCACAGTGCAAAGAAAGGTCGTTAATAGAACCACCTTTTTTGGACCCCCCCTTCCAGCATATCAGACCACTTGATGATTTGCTATTGTTTCAACTATGTGCCACAGATGCACCACAACACACATGCCATCCTTTTTCCCAAGATTTACCAGGCAAGCGTTGATCATCCCTTGTTCTTGCACAATCGCATTGCTGCTTCCGCGTTGAGCCTTGTTCGCTGCTCAAAACAAAACAACATGGAATAACATGGATAATTCATATGCATGCGCACATGCACATCCAGATTTGCGTAATTTGCACGGCATGCGGCATATGCACACTTCAGATATTGTAATGGCACAAACTCTGCAATACGCTGAGGACATCTTAAGAGCAAGTCCAAGTGACTTACACAGCATTCTGCGCATATTTGAAAAAAACAAACAGCCAAGAAACCGCTTCACCTTCAGATGGGTGTGCCAAATCCTGCAGAAAACATGGCAAAAGGGTCATGTTGGAAGCATGAAGTACGTGTTGTTGTATCCATGCAAGCATGCATGATCCATCGATGTTCCTATGTTGTGTATGCTGCCCTGTAAAATGCGTATTCTTGAAAGTTGCGCTGTGCAAATCAGATTTCACCTGGAAGAAATTCAACATATAATATAATATATATTCATTTTTTATTGACACGCGTAGGCTGCAGTACTGCATCATACTGCGTCAGATCCTGCCTGAGCTTGGTGCACCGCATGATCCAGGAACATCGTTTCTTTGGACTTGCTTTGAAGTAAGTACCTCATTGATCATCATCAAATGGGGAATCAAACATGGGGTACAAAAAAGCGGATGTTCAATTTGGTAATAATCTATGCTATGAGCGGTCTTTCTTTGCACTGTGGTTGGAACACTAGGGTATTATACTATTATAATATAGAAATTTATATATAAATTTAATATAATATAAAGTCTAGGTCTAGGCACGTTTCAGCCACGCCATGCTGTCTTCATCGACGAATCCGTGGTAGAAGCGGCAGTTCGTTCCTGGGCTGAAGCTGGGTCGGGACAGAACTGGTGGCCCATGTTTGAGAATTTAGTTCATGATCAGGGGTACAAGTAATACAATGATTTTTTTCCAAAAAAAATGTATCATATAGATCTGATTGCACAAGAGGTCAATCTACATCAGTTTTGTTCAGCATTATGCACAGTTTGGCATATAATATAATATATTTATACAAAATTACACTATATTATGTATTATACAATATCCATTATTATATATTGTTTTTCCTCTTTATAATTTAGCTATGAGGTTTTTAGGCATCACTGGCCATGAATGCATGGATGACATGGAGTTAACATATCATGTGTATTTCAATTTCTTTTCAGACAGGCAGCTTGTGCGAAGCGATCGACGGAGCAGGTGCAATAGCCCCTGGGCCCGGTGCACCACGAATTGTCATAGCATTTTTGTGTATGACATTATAGTATTTGCTTGCGCTTGCAGTGGGCACAAGGGTTTGACTGGTTTCCTGCTACATTCTTACTAGCTAATTAAAGCACCAAGCCAAGCAACATGGACCTTTGGACGAAGAAACCATTCTCTGATCCCCATCCTGCCCAGGCAAGGGTTCCACAAGGGGAAGTGCTTGTGGAACCGGCCAATGTATCTCCCAATGCCCCAAAAACACAAAAACAACTTATGGCCTTGTGCTCATTTTGGTGAGCACGAGGTGCATCTTGCAAAAGTTGAATCCCTCATCATACATGGTTCGGGCTTCCGTTTCAGACCTTGGTCCACACTGGCTCCACGGATATCAAAATGTGTTTTTTTCCGTCTGGTGCTTGGTGGAATTTACTGCAACTTAGCACACTCTCAGATTGGTAAGGCCAAGATGCAAATAGCGGCCAAAAGCTTCAACATACCCCACAAATCGGGCCAAAAATCTCCTTGGGTCAAGCAAGCTTTTGGAAAAAAACGCTTGCGTAATGTTTTGCCTCACAGATCCTTTAAGGAGAATATCATATCCAGCACGGATGGGACCACGCTTTGGAGCAGTCCAATTGCAAACTCAAACCTGTGTACGTACCATTGTGATTGAGCAAGCTCCTTTTATGCCAACGCATGGCCCAATGAAAATGCCAAGGGTCAAGGCAGCCGCAATCAGATCAAATCGCTCATCGACAGCGGCAAATTCAGGGTTCAAACTGGCTTCATAAACAACCTCTGAAAGCCAGGCCAGGACACATCGGCCGTTGTATGCCTTCAAAGACAATGAGATATCGCCATTCTTCTTGTAGATCTTAGCTGCTGAATTCCATGAAGACAGTTCTGGACGTATTAGTTGACTTCAACCAATGGGAGACCAATGGGAGACCAACAGGCTAGCTGATACCACAAAAGTACCAAAACAACATGTTCAGGGTTCATCCCCTGCGTTGCAAAAAACTTGTACAAAATTACAAAACAAGTTGAATAAGGAACCCGGTCCAGAACATCTTCACACAGCGGAGTTAGTCTTTGATCATGTTGCTAGTGCCAACCCACTCCAGCGGACACCCTGCACATGTCTCCAAGGAACATTGCGTTCCTTGAAAGCACTCTGCGAACATGCAATCTTCTTGCTTCTGCAAAACGCCTTGAAATGCTCATATGCTCTAAGCAGCAAAAGTGCTCGCGGATGGTCACCAACAGCGCCAAAGTATCCAGCTCGGATAAGTAGATTCCTTTGTTTTTTTGTCAAGCACGAAAATGTGTGCATGATGCACCAGGCACAACATGTTCTTTGGTGTAATCTTCCTGTGATATCACGCTGATCAATCCAGTGAAAGCCGAATGCCCCCAACATGGAGAAACATTTTCAGAAATTCTTCAAGGTTCAGTCCACTGCCGTTTGCTGTGAACAGCAGACCTAGATGCAACACATGCATCAGGCACCAGCGTATGCAGCTTGGATGGAAGTTCGGCAGCTGAATCAGTGGACCTAAGAAAGGGGCAATGTCCCATTGACCAACATGAATCTAATATATAAAAACATGTTGGCCATTTTCAGTATTTCGAGCAATCAAATCAGAACATGTTGCTCAAAAAACATCCAAAAAACAAATTCCCCTTGAAGGGATCCGCTCTTCAAGAAATTCAGCCAAAGTGAACTCGTGCTGGTCCCAGGTAGTTGTCTCTCCTAGGTTCCAGTACAGGTCAGGCCATTGGCCTTTCGAACGGGCACGGCAATGATAGCACATTGAAAGGCCGTTCCAACTGACGCCAGGGAATCGAAAAACTTTTTTGTGCCACTGCCAATCTCCCCGCACCTCCGTCACAACAAACTTGGTGTGTGATGAGGTAAGGGGGGATCCGGCAACCTTTTTCAACCGGGCCGGCAACTCTTTGCCATATTGGTCATAGCATGGGTGGATACCCTGAAAACACGCTCTCAAGCTCCAGCAGACCCTCCTGTACACAGTGTTGAGGGTATGATGTCCCCAAAGCTTTTCATCCTCGATCGCGAACAGCAAGTATCGAGACAATCGGATACTCTTTGGTCGGAACAGGATGATGTTCATGAAGATGCCAACGACATTCACGTGGCCGAACGCCGTGGACGCCCTTGCCGAATCTCCAAACAGTCCAAGCGGCACCATACCATGCGTAGCAGTATTCTGCGCCCATGGTTCGCCAAAGCGGCAGTGATGTTCCCAGTACCTGTGGATGGCTTGCTGTGGTATTGACAGCTTCGCATCCTCAAACAAGAAGCTCACCACCGAGTGAGGATCAAGAATTGGCCACTCTTGAATCTGAAACTTCTCGCTTCCATCTGCTAAGTCCGTGAATTTCACAGGGATGCGAATCGTTTGAATGGCCTCATCCATGCAAAGGCTAGCTTCCAAAAAAGCACACATGCAAATTGCAAAGGCTAGCTTCCAAAAAAGTGCGAATGCCCAAAAATGTTTTTTAGTAGGATTGGGAGGAGACAATATTACGTACACATATATATATTATATTATTATATTATATATAAGCTATATCCATCAAATAAATTAGCATATATATGTGTCACTGCGCATTATGAACCATAATCAAATTGAACTATTTTGGATTTGGGTTACAGCAGGGTACCTGGAAAAAATACCAACCATACCAGGAAACTGGTCCTCCGTTCAGAGCCCTCCACCAATCCCTCGAGTTGTTGCGACCAGAAACAGATCCCAATCTTCGGGCCATAGGATGGATAACCTTTCCCCCACTATCCTCAATGAGCTGAGACAGGTCATGCACCCATATCAGGATCGACAAAGATTAAGAGAAATGATAACAGTATCGATCTGATATATCATCATATTATGTTGTCAATAAGTGGAGGGGATACCTCATAAAACATCGATCTTTTGGGGCTACTGAAAATGCATCGGATCTTTCATGGTCAATTATTTGTTTTAATTAAGTTTTGTGACAAAACCATTTGGGATATTGGTGCAATGGGTTTGATATTGGGTTTATGATTTTGCGAAGGTAAAAAGAACCACACATGCCGATCGAAAACAAAATGGAGGTTCAACCCTGGGGGCTGAGGACCACGGCACCAGGGAACCCCAAAAGACCTTGGAGCTGGGCACCCCAAATTTGATTTGCAAAGTGGTTTGATTTAGTGGACCATGGTACAAATTTGGATATCATCCAGATCATTATAACCGATTCGAATTAGAGATCTCCATCGATGCATCATCATAATTGGATGTATCCCTAGAGCCTATTACATAGTGATATTAGCTAGTGTTATATTGTTTTGATCATATGACCTAAAATAATCGATGATGTAACAATGGAAGATTCAACGTTTTCTGCGGAACAAACCCCTGCCAAATTCCAAGTCAACATCCTTGACATGTGTCTAATGGGTGATTCAGGTTTGATGGACTAAGGGTTTTCTCTGATCTGGATTCACCAGTTTCCCCAAATACCATGAAATTGGCATGGGTAAATTGCCACTGTGACTCAAAGAAAAAACGCAACCTGTTGAATGGGGTCTTGTTGGTCTATTAAGTGATTTACTCTATCTAGTATAGTGTTTATTACAATACATGTGTGCAATCATATTGAATCTCAACATAAACATGTGTGAACTAGTTTTTTGAAGATATCCCCAGCCCTTCTTATGATTTCACCATGTCGTTGATAAGCCCTGCCCCTGGCCACGGATTGCAAAGGATCAGCAACATGAGCTCTGACGGCCCTCATCGCTTTCCCTACTGTAGAAGCCTCAGTCATGGCAAAGACAGTGCAGGTGGAAGGAAGTACTTTTAAAATGTCCCCAAGTGAGAACTAATTCAATGAGGTTCCACCGACACAAAATCATTTTCTTCAACATTTTTTTTGGAGGGATGGAGTAGCATTGATAGTTTTGAGATTGGTTAGGGCCCCATCTGTAGCCAAGAAACACCACCATGAACATCATCCATGGCATTTTCCATGACTGCAGATCGCTCAGCTAGCGAATCATCCACATCTGCGATGGGGCGAGCTGACATATGTAATAAATTATAACGGATCAACCTTATATATATATATATGCAAATCACACAGATTGGGCAGTGCATTTTTTCCTCGCTCAAGACCCCATTGTTTGATCGATCTTTGAGTACACGCTCAGTGACCAGCCGTTCACATTTTCTGGGCTAAAGGTCATCAGAAGTACAGAATTTTCAAAAGCTAAAACCCTGTGCCACGTGGCGCCGATTGTTCTGACGCACCTGCCCCCATAGAACATGTATATGTAGCCCAGGGAGGATGTAAACAGATCAGCTGAATTCATGAATTGATCAAGTTGATGTAAAAAATCATATCTATCTAGATCAGAAAATTATTTGTTTCGAAGTGTTCTTCTGGCAAGTATAATGGAATTGGAAATATGAATGAAGTTTGGAAATTTTGCCCCCCTGGTTCTGCCACCGTTCAACCCTCTGGCAGGGTAATCAAGAACGCTAACAACACTCGGTGACACAGAAGTCAGAGACATGGATTAGGACCTACCATGGCCGGGCCCATCCCAAAATAGATATATCGACATCAAAATTCACTTGTTCAGGTTAGTCTTGGTCAGGAACTCCTTGTACTCCTTCTCGGATTGGGTGCACGCCTTCATATAGGCCTCAAGCCCCTGAACCTCAGATGGGATGTTTGGGGATTTAGGGGGATTTAGGGATGGTGGTTCTATCTCTCTCTTATGCAGTCCCAGAATGTTGATCATTCATGTCATGCATGACATGTATATTCGCGGTTTCTCAAACGTGTGTGATATCACATCACCTGTATTTCTGATAAACCTTTTGTATCGCTATTTGTCATCACAAATGGCTAGGACAACAGTGTTGCTGGATATCCCCATAATGCAATCAAAAGAACTTCCCGCTTGTCAATTGCATTCTGCAAGTTATCCCTGACTTCCACCAGAGCCGTCCAAAGATGCTCGAAATCTGGTTGGATTGCCCGGCGAAGGCTCACACACCTCGCGAGCTGGCAACCGAGATCGATCGAGGAACCCCCAGATTTGGGATGGGAATGGTAGGAATGGATGGCCATGCCAATATATATATAATATATAATAAATAAATAAATGTATATTCATAAAATACTTATGTATACAAACCCACAGGGCGGTTCAATTCATCAACTTATAATGGTACCAGACTGTTGGATAGTTGGAATTAACTTAATATTCAAGATATGTCATTTTTTGAAACATCCACCATGTTGACTGTGGGTATATTTCAAACATGTCTGCATAAAATATATAATCCGATAAATTTTACTGGTCATGACCCGAATGCGAGACTCAAATAAATCCTTTGAATGGAGGTTACTGTTTGAATTTGTTTGATTTCTTGGAATTTCCCCCTAAGAAATCAACCACCCAAGCTATATCACCAGAACTGGTAAATCGTTCAAATAATTGGGTAAGATATCCCATAATCCTACAACCCAAACCCAAGCGATCCTGCATACACCCCTAAAAAGTGTTCTGCTTTGTTGGTATCACCACCAAGTATTGTAACATATTTTGGGTTTATAGTATAGACCCGTGAGGGCAATTATTTTGGACCTGATGGATTCACAGTTGGGATACTTCCCCTCTTTCAAAAGATTGTATTACGTGGTTCTCTGGTTAGGGCCACTGATGATCATTGTACGCATCCTATATATATATAATATGAATTGTATGCCACATGATGGCTGCTAATGTCCCTTGAACCGATCAAATGAAATTTGATCAAAACTGGCATCAGAAGACCCCAAAGTAGCAACTGGCACTTGTTTTAGATAGTGAAGTACTTGTCTCTTCCCAATTTTGAAACCCAAAAACTCATGCCTTGCCCAATGGTTTGCAGCATCCCTTCAATCACAGCTGGACCCCATTTGGCGGCACCGATTGAGTGCCACAGTGCAAAACAAAATCCTGAAGGGGATCCATATATATATATTATAATTCTCGGCCTCACAAGATAAATATAATTGTAAATTGAACATTGATCATTTTGCCATAAAATACTGGCCAGCTGGGATGGGTATGAAATACTCATATTGTGAGGCCGAAAAAAAAATGTCGCCAACATGTTCGGAGAGAATATCAAAAACATATGTGTGACGATTAGATGATTTAGCGTTGTATTTCAAAAAGACATTATTCTATGATCTACACATACCACATTTGTATTATTGAAAAATCTTATTTATTACGATTACTATTTGACTTTATAATTTATATACGGGATATGATTGACTACCGATAAATTAGGAGAGTTTATTACGTATAATTTATATTTTAATTTTAATACAACACATATATTCATCAAATCCCCACACCCCTGACCAGTACTGAATCTGCGATTGACTTGAGGCCCCACATGCCATTGATGAGCTGCGCTTTCACCGAGGCTTTGGTGATGTGGTCACTGACGGAATTCAACACCTGCAAAGATGTTTTGTTTGGGCTTAAAAGATAAGATTTTTGTAGCGATGGGGTAATCATATTAATCACTTATTGTTGGGTGAGTATACGTGCCCAAACAAGAACCAGGGTTCACAAGGAGGCATGATATCATCGATCAGCCTTATTTGTGCCTGCATGGTTTGATTATTGATAGCTGTCATTGTTCGATGGTCTGGGAAAATTGTTTTGCAGGGAACATGTCTTTGCAATATACCCCTAGCTACAACCCGATTATATATTATACAACAGCCCCCTAGCTTTGAACTTCGTATGGGCTTCATACAAACGATGGTACGAACATTCTGCTGGCCTTCTTGGCCTTTGAAATTGCATCTCTTTCCTGCTTCGCTTCATCACGTTTCCTGTCTTTCTCCTGCTTTTCCTTTTCCTTCTGTGCCTGCTTATCCTTCTGTTCCTGGGTCAGTTTCTTTTCCTTCTTGTCCTTCTTGTCCTTCTTCTTGTTTCCCTTGCCTTTCTTTTGCTTCTTCTTTTTCTTCTTGTCATCCTTGTGGGCACTAGGTTGAATACACACCAATGTGGACCAAATAGAGTGCACGACAATCCGCTTATGTACACTATATAGATCGAGTCATTCTACCAATGACACCAGTATGCATGCATGCATGCATTGCACAAATGTTAGAACACATAACACGGACTGGCATGCATACTTCACAAGCAAGGATCTGTTGACGAAGAGATCGACTCAACAGAGTTGCTCTCTGTCGAAGCGCTGCTGCTGGACTTTTTCTTAGTCTTCTTCTGGGTCTTCTTCTTTTCACCTTTCTTCTTGGGTGCATCCTCCTCCGTCTCCGAGTCTGACCCATCGACGCTCCTGAACAATTCTTCGACTGCCGTGTCTTCCCGGTCCTCTTCTCCCTCGGCATCCCATACGAGGAATAGTCGAAGATCCTGACAGCAAGAAAATCTCAACAGCAATCAGATCAGATATGCAAAGCTTGGTAATAAATTATCATATTGATTGCATGTATCCGCTAAGGAGGTCAAAACCACTCCAAATTAAAGCAGGGCTACACCAAGATGTTTGAAACATGGCAGCGTGTTCTCAGGATGGCTGATCGAAATTAATAGATGTCCATGGTTCTTCCATGGATGGAGTAAATGAATCAAGAACAATGTGCGCACTTGATTTTTTCATTTCAATATAATGTTGTATACAACATCAGATCAGGTCCGGAGATATCAATTGACGAATGCACACTGATCCCGGCCTCATTCTGCGGGGCATCTGGATGGGGTTTCGTGTGTGTATTCTTCAACTCCTCGTCTCCCAACTTGCCGTTGCAGATTGCATCTGCCATGCTTTGATCGTTGTACTTTGCAACCAATTGGTTGCGTGTGAGCCAGCGCCTCGAGCCAAAGCTGGAGCTCGACGAGCGGCTGGTCATCTTCAAAAACAATGCGGACTTCCGCCACTCGCCTTTGCATTCACTCCAGGAGTCCATCAAGATCTGAAGCTTGGCGTGGCCTAGGCTCAGCCATGCATATACTATGATAGGTGGCAGTGATCTATCACAGTTGCATGCATACCTTATTTTTTGTTGTATATATCATAATATTATGCACATGTTTTGTACCTGATCATATCTTGCATAAAGCATATGCAGCATATGTGCATGCATGGTTTAAGTATATTATATGTATTATTTGGTTTCTGATATAAGATAATATAAGATAATTTGATACATGCATGCAATGCAATCTAAATTTACAAGCTGCGGTGTTTGATCATGGGAAACCGCGTGGTCACGCACACAGATGCCCCCCACGACGTAGAAATCTATGTGCACATCTGTGCGCATGTGCATGTTGCTTGGGGGGTATAGTATACGTATTGTAGTTCCTGGAATTTGGAACAAATCCTGGACATTCAAAAATTGCAAATGCCATATCAGAAAACCAGGAGACTACCACCAAGAACAGAAATTAGGTTTCCTCTCCGGCATCACGCATGCCAAGAAACAGTAAGACGATTTGTGGTAAGCCTTCTTGACTTCTTTCGGACAGGCTCGATCTTAGCCAGACAACGGGGCTGCTACTAACGGATTTGGGGTAGCCTCAGTGAAGATTAGCAGGCCAATCCAATTTTGTTTCACCAATGGTACCCAATCCGAAAATAAGAACCAGGAATTTGTGTCACATAGCAGTGTCCAAAACATTTGTAAAATCCACCATGGATTTTTTTGATTGAATATGTTTGCTGCTAGGACACTCTGAACAGACCTGTAAAACTTCATGTATCGAGCCCGGGCTGCCCTCTGCTGAGCGGTAAGTTCTCTCTTCCTCCTCTTCCTGGACCCTTCTTGTGCAGGTTTATCCACATCCATCCCATCAGCATCAAAAAGGGAGTCTGGTGGACCCTGACTAGACTCACCGTCATTGTCATCATCGTCACTTGCTTCCCCAGCTGGCATGTCAGGACTGGGCTGCTTCTGCTGGTTAAGCTGCTCAGCTGTCTGTGCTCGTTGAAAGGATGTCGCTATTGCTTCTGCTGCAGCACGAGATTCCCTCACTGATGGTGGTGTGGCGGCCGGTTTCACTCCACCAGGAGATGTCTTCTCAAGCTTGCACGGGGGAAGGTCAGTTCCAGGCTGCACTGCTGTTGCTGGTTTTTTGGCTGATGCCTTTGCGGCTGTTCTCACTGCGTGTTCTGGCTCCTTAACTGCTGCCTTAGCTGCCAAAGGGTCAATGCCAGAATCAGCTGCTGCTGCTGCATCTTGGGTGGGCACATGCCCATTGGGCACAGGTGGCGGTGGGACACTGGCAGGAGCTGTGCGGGGAGGTCGGGACTGTCCGTTCTTCCCTGCATTCCCTGCATGCTTGGACCCACCCTTTTTTTTCATCACAGTTTTCTTGTGTTTCTTGACACTCTTCTGTGAACGTGAGTTCTTTTTCTTAGGTTCACTTGCTTTCTTGGGTTCTGGTCGTGGTTCTGCCTCCTGGCTAACATTCCCAGCTGGTTCCACCGACCCACCACCGATATTCTGGGAAGGGGTGTTGTTTCGACGAATCCTGTCTGCAGGTGTCTTGGGCGCAGGCTCAAACGAGATCGAGAGGTCCTTCAGCTCCTCGGCGGCATAGTGGAGTGTTCTCGATGAAGTTGAACTCGATTGTCCTATCCGGGATAGTAGTCCAAGGTCCCTACCACTTGGCCGAAACTCAGCTACTATTGTAGAATATAATATATATGTGCATCATATATAATATATATAATAATAAATATCATTTAAGGTCATATCATACATGCATGCATGCATGCATGCATGCATAGAGTTTACAACATATTCAATTCCAATGTATGCCAACTACACTGACTGGCTGGCCAATTTGAAATTACATTCCTGCAAACCCGGTTGATGTGGGCATGGCAAACGGCAAACTCATCTAAAATTAGTAAGTCGTAAGTTCATAACCCAAATTGGTCCTGGGGAAGATGATTCTGCATTGGACGGGGGCGCTGAAGTAGCTCCAGGTGAAGAACTTGGGGACCCTGGCTTCAACACATGCAAATCACCTTTGCCGGCTGTAGTTGCTTGATCCTTCAACCTCAACAGCACGCATGGGAGCTCATGGGTAAGAAATGGTGATCATACCCCAAAATGGCATAAATAAGCAGGAGGGGGAATTCACAGATCAACGTGTTTTCCAAATTATAAGCATGGGACATGACTTCTCCCCAAGGAAGCATCTCCACTGGCATAGGGATCCCTAGTGTCCTTTCAACTGTTGCACATGCCCAATCCAATTCGGCTAGCCTCTGAGCTCTGCGAGCTGCTCGGTCCAGCACAGACCCCACTGACGAATCGACGCTGGCCATTGGCCAATGCGAGACCCAAACTATCCCAACTCCTACAGGACTGGCCCTTTTTTTCAAATGGCTTTTGGAAACATATCAGTGGCCAGTGTGATGATGGTGTTCCCCCAAATTGTGTCACAATGGCTTCATTTCAAATTTTTATGATGTTTTAAAAATACCTGATTTTAGGGGTTTCGTGGTTCACGGAAAAAAAAGGGGGTTCACGCCAAAGAAAGGTGGTACACGGGTGGTACACGGGTGGTACACGGGTGGTACACGGGTGGTACACGGCCCCCAGGTTTCATGATAGGTCACCGCCCAATCAGCTACAGTTTCTTCGTTGTTTTCCCCAAATGTCTTTCACGGTGCCATTTTTGCCTCCACCACACCGAAGAGGTTGTTGAGCCCATACTACAACGATTCAAACCTGTCATTGTCAATTTGGTCGCATATATTTACTTATCATATATGTTTTCTGGACCAACATCCCCTATGTGGTCTAGGGCAGTTGCAGTCTAAGAATTACAAATTGGCGAGGCTTCAGATCAATTTTTGATCAACCAGCCTATCAAAAGCTCCGAAGCCTTTAGGCCTATGGCACATTCTGCACCATGTTAAGGGTCGAGACCCCCGGTCAAGATTGGGGTGTAGGTTCCATCTGCCACCCTGTCACGCAGAAAAGTCTTCACTTCCAATAGGAAGGCATGACGCCATCGATATGGAGCCTGATGGACAAGCAACCCTCATAATGGGCCAATCAGAACCTTGTATGGGGTTTGATTAACGATGGATGGATCCATCAAGAGCTCCACATATCACCACCAAAGTCACTTAATGTTTGAACTAACGTATGTATATTATATAATAAATAGATCAATTGATGACGATCTAACATAACATATAATTTATAATATAAATAAATATCATATATGATGATCTGAACTATATTTCCGGTCCCCATAGCCTTGCCTTTGCACCCTCAAGCTCGCACTCGTGCGAAGGTGCCTGGCCAAGCATTCCCTGGCTTGTCATGTCCTCAGCGGCAGGCCGCCAGAGATCACTTGAGAATGGTGGGCCCTGTCTTTTTCACAGATCCCGTGCAGGAGGTTAATTTACAAATTGAAAGACCACTTCCAGCAGAATCAAAGTAAATTGAAACACTGGTTCACACTGATCCCCAGAAAATTAAAATGGTACAATGCTAACAAGTTGTTGATGGAAATAACCATGTGTTGCAGAGATTCTTTCATGTAGCCAATGTGGCGCTTCATGATGGCAGCAGCAAATTGCGGCGTGTAGGCTGCACTCTGCCGCATCCCAGGGCCTCCTTGCCTCAGCCCATGAAAACCACTGGTAGGAAATAGAAGCAGGGCCGGTCACATCATCTCACCTGATTTTGAAGAAACATGTTTTTAGAGATGCATTATATGCATATTGAATCCTTCCTGAGATCTTAGACCAAGACTGAGCATAACAACACCAGTTCATCCCAGCTACACAGTAGGTTTTCCAGACTTGGAGACCCGTTTGATGACCATGGCATGTTTGCCCTGTTTGTTTTTCTCGATCCGTTCCTTGTCCTTCTTGGTCATCAATTTGTGCAGTAACATCACCCATGGCCTTTGCGCCACAAACAAATGCAGGCCAGTGTTTGCGCACAAGGAGGATGCTATACATGCAACAGGCATGCTGGGGCTCAGGCGAGGTCCCGAAGAGAACCGTGGGCTTGACATTCCGATGCTTGTAGGCGCCCATGTTGCTCAGCATAACAAGAGTGTTGGGTGGATTGGCCAAGTGGGGTATGCAAAATCAATCTATTGGATTGGAGATATAGGATCTGATTTGGCTACAACGACCTAGATTCACATGCATGCATGTGCATGCATGCATGCTGCATGCAGTTTGCAGGATGATATGCTGATATATAAGAATTGTAATCTGGCTCATCTGATAAATTGACGTTGATGAGTCATCATTGGCCCAATGATCAGAGAATCATATTAATTCCATCAAGCTCAGCTGCAAAGTCCTATCAATCTACATCAAACACAATGGCCATGTTTCTGAAATGACCTGAGCCCCGGACAAAGATACTGAGCCCCAGAAGGCCGGTTTCACAACGAGCTCCAGGAACTTGAAGTAGGGACATCGAGGCATAAGGCTTCCCCGAGGTTGTTCAGACAGTTGCTGAACATATCTGACGATACATATCATGCCCAAAAGAACCCATCGAACTGTGATCCTTAGTTGTGATCGAAACTGACATCAATTTTGGGGCCCATCCCTGGCCGTGGCCCATATGACTCAATGGCTCATGCATGGAACGCATACACACACATGCACGTATGAAATTTTCCACGCATCGATGTTGCAATGCATGTGTGTGTGAGCGTGCCACACATGCACAAAGCATGCACGATAAATGATGTCGCAGAAATACATGCACATTATAACGATAACAGCATATATAATCTCTATGATGATCTAAATAATGATTGCAATCAGATTCAGGCAAAGATCCGGTTAGCTGAACGAACATACAACCTTCTGCAATCACCAAATAACCGGGTCGTCGAACGTCCCGATGTGAATCGGTTGATAAACACCCATGACCCGCAGGGGGGTCCGCCAAATAGCAAACCCCCCTGC